ATTCAGAAATCAGATGGCTGATTGAACTTTGTCCACACCTGCTTTGCCGACAGACACGAAGAACCTGTGGCGGAATATCAAGTCTCTGAGCAATACAACGCAAACCGAAAATACACAGAAGAAGACTATGCCGAATCTGAATAAAGTGAACTGCCATTTCCTCGCTTCGAAACCAACAGGACAGTAGTGTGCGAGGCTAAATCACCTTTGATGAGCCGAACCAAGAAGCCGGTGCAATTCACTGCGAATCAGGTTCTCACTCCGTCTGTCTCCACGTCGCTCCCGCGTGAGTCCCGGACCCATCTCAATGGTTTAAAAAGTGTCTCCGCTGTTGAAAAGGAGTTCCACGATAGCCGATGGACTTTCGACTCTTTCCGACCAACTGCTATCACGCTTCTCCTCTTCAAACGCACAAAGAATCCAATTCTGCCATTTTTGCAATGGAAGATCGAAAACAGCGTCGACTCGCGTACTGAAACGACTCGGCACCCGGCACATTGCCCGTGTCACAAACAGAGTTGGAAAAGAGCTGGAGTTGGAGAAATCGAATCCCCTGAACACTTTTACTCGATCTACAGTCGGCATTCGATACAGTCTCTCGTGAGAAACTCTTGTATAAATTGTGTGCACTCGCTGTCAACCATTCCATCATGCGGTGGCTTGCAAATCACTTCACCCTTCGCAGCTAGTTCGTCAAAACCGGCCGGAAAAAGTCAGACATAATGACAAACAACTTAGGTATCGTGCAGGGTTAGGTTTTTTCACGCTTGTAATTCAACATTTATTAATGATTACGTCGCGAATGCTTCGCTCAAATAAACCAAATATGCTGATGACGAGATGATTTTGAGTTCCATGAGGACACCTGAAAATTGTGATAGTTACACGAAAGGCATATCTGCCATCTACCGTTACTTCACTTCTAATGACCTCCTCCTTAACCCAGGGAAAAGCAAAGAATGGATCTGCGTGATGCGCAGCACATTAAATCAAGCACTCTCAAATCTGTCGACACAGACCTTGCAAATTTCTGGACAGCCAATAACCCAAGTATGGCATATCAGGTAACTGGGAGCCTCTCTGTCGTCTAATTTTTCCTGGCACAAGCATGTTCAATCAGTGGTACATCGTTGCTGCAAAGAGACGGTCTGTGCGAAAAGGCTAAGGTGGATGCTTCGAGAGAAGCGACTAAGGCACGTCTATATATTCATCTTTCCCCACTACACCTATGCAGCGGCCGTCATCATTCCCGGGCTGCACGCACGTAACTTTAAAGTAATACGGCGATCAGTGAAGCTTATTTCTAAACTCAATGGTCTCCTAGCCTCCCTTAAATGACTTGGCGTCAAAGTATTTGCTTCGGCAGTGTCGCACGGCATCCATATGGCGAAGAGAATCCTCAACTACCCAGTTCACCCATTTCTCGAATACCTCGCTGAGTGCTTGTCGCGTACCACCAGTATTAGATCAAGATTGGTGAACATCGGTTTCCGGATGTAGCTTTACCGAAAGACCACTGTCAAAGCGACAGCGCGCATACTCAGGAATTTCAATACCTGACTATGTTCAAAGTAATATAATTCACTTTCGATTTAGTCATTTTACTGTAATAACAGTGACAACACATTCTTGTCATTACCAGGTCTCGTTTCTGTTCATAATTACGTAGTTCAATGCTGAAAATGATGTTCAACAGTAACTTCATTTAAGCAATAAACTTTCTGTCATTCTCGGCTGGTAGCATCGAAGCAACGTGTGGTTAATTTCTTGCTCAAGGAGGCTAAAACAAATACTGTCCCCTGAGCGGAAACAAACCCGTTGTTTACGAAGATTCGAGTTGACATCTTAGTCATTGTGCCATCTCGTCCCAAAGAAGCGAAACTTCATAAATAATAATCACCTATCAGTCGTGTGCGCAAATAATACTCTTTTAAAATTTATCCTCTACTGAATTAATGGCTTCTTAACATCAATTTAATATTCCATTTCTAAAACATATTTCAGGATATCGGAATCGAACACTGCATCATTCGTCACATAAGAAGCGTGAATTTCCATTATCTTTCAGTCTATTTTCAACTTTTATTGAGTTCAGATTAATGAATAGGTCTATAGGTTCACCTGCGTGCAACCGAATGAACATGTAAAATAAGCTCGCAGTCTTTTCACCAAGTACTGCTCCTCATGCGCAATGATCCATATGCAATTATTTATAAAAGTTTTGCCAATGTCAAGAAAATGCTCTAACAAATAAGTCTTCCAACTCAGAGGCTACTAGCAGGAAGCAGATTTAAAGTCAAAGGATCTCATTCCGTCGCCGCCGACGCTTCAGAACAAATGCAACAGTATGCCCTAATGACAGATGATTTGAATGTTAATCGAAATGCCGGTGGCTGAGTATTTTAACTTGTAACTTACTTCCTTCCAGCTAACTGAACTGGAAGAATTTTTTAAATTCACAGACGCTGAGTCAATACGAAATTCTTAGGAGACCATATTTCCCGGAGCATAAAATGCACTGTTTTTGAAAAACGCTACTTTATAGCAGCCTGAAATCATGTGATGAGGGTTTTAGGAACGGTTGCTGGGCGAAGAGGGAAATCCCTCATTTTGCACCTTAGAATTGCGGGAACCCCTGCAGTCAGCGAGTCGTGGCTTGTGCATCTGTGGTGCAGGGAGAGAAAACGATACTCTTATGACAAACCTGGATGAAGGTATCCACGTGCACTGTCCGTATTCTTTTAAATAGAATGTATGACGAACATCGCGTCATGTACTCATATAACTTTAGAATGGCGATTAAACTGAAAAGACACAAGTGCACTAACCGCACTTTAACTGGATTAAGACAAAGTACCTAACTGCTAGCCTACCTCTCCCACTTTCCTAAGATGATCAAAGAAGAAGGGTTACAGTTTGTGGTACTCATACCACAGCTGTCCCACGCTCTACAGTTTATGCCGTCAACTCAGAAATACCGATAGCGATGTTAACACTGTTGATGGGGTGAGCGGAATAGGTGTTCACGTGGGATTGACATTCCAACTGCCTACTGTTTCTCTTGGATGGCCAATGACATCGCGCACAGATAGTCTAACGGTCAAGCCGCGTTGCGATCGGAACAAGGTAATCCTGTAGTCAGCCAAAAGCCGTCGAAGCTTTTGTGAAACGCCCTTCGCTGCAGCATTTATGCGAACATTGTTTACGTTCATGAATCAGACTAGAAGCTAATCCGCCAAGGATCAGCGATCGATTCCGCCCGAAATAGACGAGTGCGCCCAGTAACGTTCAAAGCCAATTCGGTTTAAAGCCAATTATCGCCATCCGGCCATTAAGCGAACATGCAACCTTTGGAGCGCTTCCTGTCACAGTATAAGAGCCCGCGGCAAGTTCAGCCACCAACTAGCTGTCAGCAATGGAAAACAACGGAAGTGAACGGCGACACTACTTCTCCTCCTCACTTCAGACTCATCTATTTCGACAGCAAAGGCATTGGGGAACCGATCCGGCTAATTCTGGCGTACGCCGGCCAGCAGTTTCAGGACGTGCGTCTGAACATGGATGAATGGCTTGAGAAGAAGACATGTGAGTACATCTACCTCGGTTAGCCGAGTCATACATGAACAGCGCTTGCTCATCGCTATTTTCACATAGATACCCGATTTGGTCAACTGCCGGTACTTGAAGTGGACGGCAAGCCGCTAAATCAGTCTCTGGCAATTTTACATTACCTTGCAGAGATATTTGGTAAAGTGTATGAGCTCAATTGTTTTATAAAATAATTACGGGCGTCGTTCGTATTAGATCTTCGATCTTCGAGCCCATGGGGCCGCGCCATTGAAGACGAGTTGGGTGTATCGTGGTATGATGTGTGTGTGAAGCTGGTCGTTCTTAGGGACGAAACAGATCCGAATAAAAAGGTGATGAGTAATTCACCATTCAATACTGACAGACCGTACGTTCTAGTGCATTTCAGCGAGCCATCTACAGGGAACTGCTGAAAGATTTTATTTATCCCAGGCTTGAAGTCTACGATCGCTACTTGACAGACAGCAAAAGCGGATTTTTTGGCAACGACAAAGTACGTAATATCCTGCGTTTGCCTTAGGTATTGCTTCATGTATTTTCAACGACTAAAACAGAAAAGGACCAATTATAACGGTCGTATACAACTGTGCTGAATCCAATCGTAAATCTTGGTACATAATTGACTTAAATTAAGAATGACTCATCCAAGACTAGATTTTACACTGAATTGCACTTCCCCTTTGCTCCTAGCTGCCTGAGGGCCATTAAATCAGAAATCTGATCTTGGAGGAGTCATTCATTATTTGGAATACTCTGGCATACGAACAGCTTATGATGTTGATTCGACAGCATATAAGGAGTACCACCTCCTGAAACATCGCTAGTGATGAATGCGAGAGGTCTAGCGGACAAGATGTTGCTAGCTGCATGTGGCACTACATGGGCTCAAATACCATAAATCCGTGACCTGTTAAAAGGGCCCCGAAGACAGTCCAAAGCAAGGGGTCGGTACATTAACCGTGAAATTTGATCTTGGAGGAGTCGTCCATTATTTGACATACTTGGGAGTACGAACAGCCTAGACATTCAGTTTGTTGATAGAATATGCCAGTCCCAGAAAAATCTGCGTTCAAAATGCAAAACTTGATTATCACTGTCTCTGGCCCACCGTTTTTGTTCATGGAGGACCTTCTCGGTGAAGCAAAATATGTTACTTGCTTCGTCTTGGAATGCACTCTTGTAATTTATGCATTATCCGCTCTTCGCAACGGGAGAGGGTGTCGACTTGATTTTATAAGGATGGGAATGTCCGACGTCGAAACAGTCAACATTCCGCGGATCCGTCGTTTCATTCAGTCACATCTTTAGCTAGCACTATCTAATCGCTACAGTTGCCATTATCAACTAGCTACTAGCTTAAATACTCTGGCTTTGACCTAACCCCAAGGTGAAAGCTCACCCCATTACCTGGGCATTACAACAAGGTTTAACATCTACATCGGCCATTAATCTTAGTAATGACAGTTGTTTAGCGCACAATTTATTGCAACGTGCTTATCAAGATGTGCAGTCTGCAACGAACTTCAGCAATAACCGAAACAATAACCTGACGTTTAACGTTTAGGTGTGTTGGGTGGACTTCCTGCTGTACAGCATGCTAGAAATGTGCACTGCCTGGATGGGTATTAACCTGAAACCGTATCCTAACGTGAGGACATTTCTCCGAAAATTCGAGTCGATTCCGCAGATTTCCAAATGGCAACGTACCAATCATAAACCGGTGAGCAAACCGTTTAAACTGCCGAATTTCGGCATGCAGCTGTGACCAACGGCTAACTACGTTATTCATTATCGTCTTGGATGCTTTCGAAGCCATGGCGTCGTAAAAGTTCTTGCTAATGAAGTACATACAGGATTATCTACTTTTTACGGTGCAGACAAATGACATCAATGTAGGGTAATATAATTATTGGACGATGGTTTACAAATGTTCCATACTTGTTTACCGAACGTTTTTCGACAAGAGAATAAATAAAATCAATAACATTCCATTTCCATGGTTTTTCACATCATGCATGTACATTACTTTTTATGCTAAAGTAACGCCAAAATTTATAATCTTATACCATCGCATTATCATCCATTTAAACAACTGTCACCAAATACTACAAAATTGACTCACTTCAGCTTCTATAATAATGACCCTCTGCTGCATGGGATGAGGCCGAGAAGAAGACCAGCTTGACAAAAACTACGATCTGTACTTTCAAAAACTGCCACTTTGAGTGCTAGTAACTAAAAGTTATGCAAATGGTGTAGGTAGAGATGTTGAGGTATCACAGGGTATAATTCATGAGGGATGGCAGAGAGCATGTAAAGAGACATGGAAATCAATAATGGGTAAGTTAAACTGGTCTGTGGCGATAAAAGGAGCTGATCAGTAGTGGGAAGCTATGTCTTTAAGCCTATCGCACGCAAATCACTTATGTTCATAAGTGCAAGAAACTGATCAAACGAGTGTGATCTCAAAAAAAGCGTGAGAAATGAGCTTTATTCGAAGGACTACTTGTGACAAGGCGGGACAACATTCAGAATATTGAAGTCCGGGAAGCCCTCACTTGTGACGCACTTCTTTTTCAGATT